TTTTTTCAAGGCTAAGGACTATCCTTGTAAATTCATATGTAAGGTGTAATTTTAAAAATAATTCCCAGAATATTTTAATTTTGATTTATCCACAAAACATCTGTGTACAGATTTGTAGATGGGAGATTCAAGCTCTTTAATTTCAAATCACACTGTTTTGAAAAGGCTGGTACAAAATTGAATGTCACTTGATTGTTATTCTGCTTAGGAGAGACTACAAATGAAGGATCAGTGAGGGAGCAGAGAAAAACTCCAGTGAGAAATAGGATGAAAACAAAGTTGAGAATGCGAAGAATGAACAACAAAGTGTGAAAAAGAGAAGCACAGAGGGAGAATATAAAATTCTCATACACTGGCATTTAAGGGACAAGAAGCTTACACGGGCCACTGAGCTATGCCATCCTCACTTTTCAAGGGTTAGTAAACTCACTCAGTGGTAACCTGGCACAGAGCTTGCTTCAGCAGAAGGTTCACTGAAGAAAAGTTTCCTATGTCAAAATAACAGCTCCCCAAGTGTTAAAATCTAAAATACAACCTTGCAAGCCCCACAAACCCCCACCCCATCCTTGTGTATCCTCTTGTCAGTGTACCCAATCTGCTATGCCCAAAAGCACCAGAAATTTCAGTCCCTTGTAAAACCAATGAGTCCTTTCTAAGCTGCAGCCCTCCCCAGAAGAGGCACCTGAGATGCTGAGCTTGCCACTGGAGAGGCCATTCTCCTGGCAGACATGGAGCCATCCCAAAGAGACACAGACTGCTGCTCCCTGGCCCTGCAGACACCATGGCCACACAGCCACAGTGGTGGTGTCTGAATTTTTCCAATTTTTCAATGGTTTCTAAAGGTGACAATGGTAATTAGTCCTAAATGCTTTATGTGCCATAGAGAAATGCAGGAGAATATGTCCAGCAGGCAACGTTTTTTAAGTCTCTGCCAACACTTTGATCACAGAATGAATTGTCTGGAATACTGTGAACTCTTTACTTATTAAAATGAAACTGGGGTGTTTTATCAATGAAATATATTTTATTGTGTTCTGTCAATGAGACATATGCTATTATATTATCAAGGTACCAATTCAGACTATAAAATCAGCTTTCCATTTCTCTTAATGAGAGATTGTACCAAAAGTAAATTACATGAGTTTTCATCACTGTACTCTTAGTAAAAATAGGGCATTTTGGGTCTTTTTGTTAAAGAGAAAGCTAATATAGTATTTATGAAGTCTGTGCATTGAGCAGTTAAGGACTAATACTGAATATCCAAAATGCTAGAGGATCTTTAGTCAAAATGGAGAATGACAATATGAAACACAAAGCATTTCGTCAGGAAAAAGGAAAAAAAGTTATAGGAAAAAGAGGATGGGTTATTATAGAAAGGATGAAGGGGTATAGATGGTGAATGAAAACTAGCATTTCCAGAAATGAAAATGGGCTGCATTTTTTTTAAAAAAGAAGATCCCTTCTAGACTTTAGTTGTGTTTTCAGGAGATGAAAGAAACAAACTTCTAAGTCTCCAAAGAGTCAGTAAATGTAGACACCGAAAAATCATCACAGCATTTGAAAATAAATGGGATCTTATTTTAAAACCATAAAAGTATGAACTGCCTCTTTTATTATTTAAGGGGTCTTGCTTTTCTGTTCTATTGAGAAGACTTGAAGGTCAAAATGTCTGTATACTTAATGCCACTTTAGATGCCAATGAAAGGAGATTACAAGAAAAATGAGAACCCTGGGGCTTGCCAGGCCTTTCTGGGATAAATGCACCGGGTATAGTCAAGGTTATATAAATTAAGAGAATCCATCTTCTGGTGTTGTTGTTGGGGTTTATTTACATTTAAAGAAAAGGAAAGTAAATTAATAATAAAAAACAGTGAAATGTTCAAAGATTGCATGAAAAAGACAATTTTACATTGTAACATGTGCAATAGAAAGTTGCAAATTCTTTCAAGTGAGGACTGAATTAATAGTTAGGGGAACAGAGACAGTCATAGTTTGGTAGACAACTCCAAATGAAGCTAAACCCTTTTTTCAAATTGACATAGTCCGTTCCCTGGAATCTTAAAGACCTGATGAAGGTAAACCAAAATTACAGGGAACTTGGTTGGAAACCAAGAATGTAGGAGAAATGTGCTCACATCTGAAAACCACAAATTTTTACTCTGGAAATGTCAGAAAAATGTACTAAAGGTCACAAACCAAGGAAATGTTTTAAGGGCAGTATTTCCAATGTTCAAATATTTCCATGTCTGTCAAGAGAGACATGGGCATGGAGAGAAGTTTCCACGCCACAGAGTTCCAGCATTCTGTAATAGCTGTGATCAGAAATCTTGCCCAGAAAGAGTCAACAAGGGTTGTGCTCTTGCTTTACTGCAGAATAGCCAAATAGATTTCCAAGGTCTCCACAAGGTCCATTTTCCTCAAGGACAGAAGGATTTAATTATTTTTTTTTCCTTATTCTCTGTCTCAGTCTTATCACATTGTTGGAGATGTGGCTTCATGTCTTACAGGTAGGGTATTGTCCTATCTTATTATAATCAGAAGCTCAACCTGCTGCACAGCTGATTTACTCTGCTAGCCGCAAATGCTGCATTAAACTCAGCAACTGCAGTTCAGCAGACAGTGCAAATGTTAAACCATTGAATTGCCTTTTCCCTATACCTTGATGGGAGTAAATGAAGGTTTCCTGGGAAGTTCAAGGTCGAGTTCAAGGGCATTTTTTTCCATGCATTTACTATCCTTAGTGTTCAGATTTGGAGAAACATCCCTCTTTGATACAGATACCCAAACAATGTAGACAACAAATACATCAAAGAGGGAATTACTGCCCTAGAACTTAGATCAAATTTCACTGTTAATTGAAAAGATCATGCCTTTGCTTAGAGATACATACTGCTTTAATGGAGCCTTTAGCAAGGCAAAGAAGGGACTGAGGCAGGTGTTGGGAAACCGTTTGGACACAGATTCCAGGAGTAAAAGCTGTCAGGAATGATAAAAAAGCAAGGAAGAGCTCTCTCTCCATTTGCAAAGGAGCTTAAGTGAGAAAAGGCTCTGAGACAAGTCAGAAAGAGAGAGTGGAGAGAGAGAAGCTGGGCAGGAGGTTAAGTGAGCAGAGTTCAACTACTCATCCAGATGGACAAATGGCTTTAGAGTTAAAAATTTTCTTTGTCAAGGAAGAGCTGCACACATTAGTGGAAGACAAGGCTTTGCAAGAAGACCCACAGAAAAATGAAACAATGCCAATTTCTTAAAATGCTGCTGTGGTATCCACCTTCCACTACGGAACATGCAGCTCTCTTGTTCACAAAACCTCCCTTGAAATCTTTTGACCTTCGTGCATCTTCCATGGAAGAAAAAGTGCAGACAGAGTAGTTCCTGCCAAAATATTATCCTCTGGTGTTTGCTGTCTTAACCATACAGCAGCAGAAAAGCAGAATCAGCAGCTGCAGGTGTTAAAAGACATATTTTAGGAACAGAATTCTACATTCAGGAGAGGTAACGCCCTTCACTTCCAAAAGGCACCTCATTATTAGGCAGGGACTCTAACACAGTACTGCAAACACTTACCTTGGCTCCAGGCTCATTCCTCTCCTGTGTACTTTGTAGATTGCCCTGTTCTTTACTAATCTCAGACTGAGCACTTCACCACAAACAAAAGGTAGAGAGGGGCTCTGCAGCACCAAGAGGAACTAATATTTGTCCTTACTTTCAGAAGCAGCATAAGGCCTATAACCAACTTATTTTGCACATAAACTCTGAAAGATTGCCAGCTACATTCTTATTTCTGTAAATTTAAGATGTGCCTTCTTACATAAGGACTGGAGTACCAAGCTGGTATTTTGATACCAAAGTGCTCCAGAAATGTGGACCTGCAAAGTCACAGAAGTAGCCAGAGAATTAGATTTCAGGGACATGCTGAGATTGAGCCCACCAAAGTGCATGAAAAGACTTTATTTTTTTAGCCACTGTATTTTGGATCAACTTTTCAATCAAGTTTGCTGATTTGGCCCTGGGGATGCCTGATTCATATATACAGGCAGATGTAGAACCTATATTATTGTACAAGCTTCTGGAATAAGAAGGAAGGTATTCACAGCTGAAAGCTGCAGTCTTTCTATCAGCTCTGGAGATGCTAAAACTGCAGAGCCAAGGCTCCCCATCCTGTCTATGGCTTGCTTCTGGCTTTATCTTGATTTATATCAACATTTGTGAAGCATTAATAATGTCACAAGAGGCAGACCTGTCAACTAGAATAACACTCTTGGAAAATTTGCTCCCACCTACTTTCCCTTTCAGGTTCATCAGATCTGGCATTTGTGTCTGGAGTTACCCAACCATAGATAAGAAACATGAGAAAAACACTTTGTCATTAATTACAGAGGCAAACAAGAACAGCTAGGCATGAGGAGGTTGGGTTAAACCAACAATCCTTTACAGAAGCCCCCTATATTCATCTGCTAACTCCAATCACAGCTGAAAGCAGATTGCAGGGCTTTTGTATTACATTGGAAAGGCAGGATAAGCAGCAGAGTATGGTTTGTATCCTAACATTATTCCCCCTGCAAAATCAATACTCCCGTATATGGTGTTAGGCATTTTCCAGGGGAGCTGCAGGGAGTCCACAGGGGAAGCTTGACACGTGCAGCAGCATTTGCAAGGTCGAGACCCTGTTCTTTTAACATATTCCAGCAAGGTTAATGTGCTATTGCACGAGACCCAGGACAAGGCCAATGAATCACTGGAATCCTTCTCAAACCCCAGCTACACAGAAAAGCACATTTAAGGCACAAACCAGTTATAGTGATATATATCTTCTAGAACAAAAAAAATACAATTTTTTTTTTTGTGAGGAGGTATTGTGAAAGGCTGAAACCCATACATGTACCTCCAAGTAATCCATAAGCACTACATTTGTAAAAAAACCCTGGAAGATCTGAATTTACCTGAATAATTAGTGATAAAAAAGCTGGGATATTCTTAGAGACAAAGCCACTTACTGGAATGTTGGTTTTGTGGCCACCCTGAGCTGGGATAAGCTGGTTTTCCTGGGGGTGATTTATCATGGCAGAGATGGTACTTTCTATTCTTAGTAGTTGCCTCCCTATAAGAACCATAAAAACAAATTTATCAATTGATTTTAACAGCACTGCAATTAGATATTGATTTATTGGCACTCAGGGGTAGTTATAAACCTGATATTAAGAAAATGTCCTTCCATGCAACTAAATTGAAGCTGGAAAACTGTGATCTAGAGGTAATCCAGATTCCACAATATCAAAACCTATGTTCTTCCTCTCCGTATTAAAATCTATAGCAACAAGAGAGATTCTAGATTTTTTTTTTAATTATTATTATTTTAATAGAAAGAATTCTTGGATACAGCATCCTCAAAGAGAAAAAAAAATTAGACAGGGAAAGCAAATGAGTCATAAGGGCATGATTTCATTTGGAATAGGTCATGCAAGATTAGTACCCTGGGCTGCCCAAAGCTAAAATTTAACTATCATAACTGTGAGCATCAGGTTTGAAAAGGATGAATGTGTGAGAAAGCGCAGGAGGGGGTTTCTTTCATTTTCTCTGCTTTTGGGAAGAGGGATGTGTGAGGAGAATACAAATCCACTGATTCATACCTATCTATTAGTCATACCTCTGTTGTGCTCGTTGCTTATTCTGTAGACATTCTCTGTTGTATAAATAAGGTGCACTGCCGCAGGGCTTAATATAGTATGTCTTTATACCTTTGTTTTTCTAGTTTTGTTTCTAACCCCTGATCATTCTGCACTTTCTTTCACATACCTTGTAATTCAGCTAAAGAATTTTGTAACACAAAAATTTGTGTCATTTATTAGTACTTTCCAATGAAGAATTGTTGGATTTTTGACCACTATGGCCATCCATTACCTAAAGAAAAGGATCTGTTTCTTTATCATGTTTTAGAGCAAAAATATTTTCAACGAATGCAACATTTGAAGAAATACAGAGATATCTTTTAAAAATTATCTATTGTATGGACAGGTGTTTATTTCCAAAAAAAGACAGAAAAGAAAAGGAGAAAAGAAACGGAGAAAAGAAACGGAGAAAAGAAACGGAGAAAAGGAGAGAGAGAGAAAGAGATTGCACGTTGACTAACACAAAGCAGAATGCTTTTAAAAAACAAATTTTAACAATTTTTTCCCCTTTGAACAACCAGTTGAAGGAAAAGTATTGGCTTGGCTGCAGTTTTTGATGTAAAAACATCATTTTGAATTAGGCTAAAAGATATGCCATGTGAGCTTCAAAGAAAATATTGGCGAGAAGCATACAGGAAAAAATTAAAAACTTCCTTGCAGGGATTTCTAATCTCTGTACATTTATTATTTAAAGCTTTGCAAAAGACTAGTTTGCAGTGCTGAATAATTATTTTGCATGTACTTGTTCAAATATTCCCTCTTCTGTTTGCTTGTGTTTTCTATTTTGATTTGCTAGCAATACTTTTTGAGTAAAAAAGAAAATTATATGCACTTTTTTACCTAAAATGCAGAACTGACCATAGCATTGGTATTTTTATCTATCTGTTTGTACCATATGAATGCAGAAAAAATTTGACAATTTAAATAGCCAAGCTCACAGTTAAAAACTCATTAGTGATATGTGATTTGACAAGGAAGAGGTTTAACAGGGATATCTGATTGCACATGCATTGACTTTCACATTTCAAGTCAAGGGTACAATAAACTCACCTGATGTGGTTTTGAACTTATCAGTTGTGACTGGTGGAGAAATGCAATGCTGGTGACTTCACCTCCAACAGACACTGAGCTTTCCTGACTCCAGTACACTCCATTCTTTTAACCTTGACAATAAAATAGGGAAGCAAGAGAATTAAAATGATAATTTGCTTCTGGAAGTTAAAGATCTTTTTTCTCTAGTAAAAATGTGGGGGACAGATGTTTTTTGGGTTTTTTTTCAGATTCTAATGAAACCTCAAAATAAGTCTTGCATAAATACCACCAACCAATATTTGTCCAAAGCAAAACACACAAAATTCAGAACCCGCTCTCCAAGGGAAATTTGCCCTAGCTTCACTTGGATATTTGTCCCAATACAAGTCAACAGTCATTATGTAGGATTTAGCTCAGTAAACATTCAGCTGATGACCAAGCAGGCCAGCTTCCTGTGTCAGTTTTATGGGCACAACCATTACATGCTGATAAATAGTATCATCATGTTCTTGGTTTTATCTAGTTAAAAGGAAAAATGAGTTCCCAGGAGTTCCCTGGCTGGGAGACACATGTAAATCCCCCTCTCTCCTATGAATACTGCCCAGAGTAGCCATCTAAACATCTGTAGGATCAACACAGACCCTCTCAGTTACTAATATGAAGTAGATCTGAAACCTACAAGGCTTCCAACATCATCCCTTAGAGAAGGAGATGTCACAAATTTGGCCAGACCACAAGAGCAGCAGCAGCATGAGACTCATTTGACCCTTTGTCAGGCACCAGGCTTATCTTTCTGAAACAAAAGACACATCTCTGCTGTGTCTGTCTGGCATCTTTGCTTTGCTTAGTGATTGCTACAGAAATTGCCTTTGCATTAATTCGTCATGCCTCAGTCTGGTTATGGCCATTGCATGCAAACCCAATCATCTTTTACTGCAGATCTCATTCTAGAGGGAGGAGAATAAATGGCTTTTTTTGTTTAGTTTTTCTGGATTTATGTATACAGTTTTTCCAAAAAAAGTTTCTCTCCTTCATGGCAAGAGCACCTGATCTTTGGGTCTATCTCACAGAACATTCTTTGAGATATTGTCTTGGCTAGAGGCATTCAACTCTGCCTGTTTTGCATGTCTATTTAAAAAATAAAAGTTTTTCCTATTCTTTTAATTCTGGTAATATTAATTCAAGTCTGTGTCAAACACGAGTCACTGACAGATTAAAGTAAATGTGTCACAGTGAGATTACCATGAGCATAAAACAGTGCCCAGCATGTGCTGCTTCCCTTTGCTGTGGGCTCAGATCAAACTACAGGATTATACAGATAGGCCTGCCTTGATACAAGATACAGAACCTCTTATTCATCCAACACAAACTAATGGGGGAAAATATGAACTCTTATTTAATGTTTTCTAGGATTCATTTAAATTCTATGTCTTTAGTGGAGCTGGAAAAGTTTTATTTAAGATTGGAGGGTACAGGGTAGAACAGCCCAAGGAGGGTTCCTGTAATATTGAAATGGAACTGAAATACATCAAACCACTGTGGCCTGCACTATCACCCAGGAAATATTTTAGCCTCACAAAAGCAAGTAGTGATATCTGAAATTGCCCTAAGAGAATAACAGAATAAAATTTCAATGAAATAAAATTATGAGTAGAGTTATTTAGTATTTGTCCAGTCATTAAACAAGGAAATTTTACATCTCAGTTCTTCAGCAGAAAAGTTATGAAAAAAATTTTGAGCCCCCCAAAGAAAACCAATGATGAAATATCCTACCTATATTTTTTCTTCAATAAATACCAAAGCTTCCTAGTTAACCTTTTAAAAAAAAACATGCATTCTTGCTTTTACACGTTTTGATTGGCTTTTTCTGTTTTGCTTTGGAGAGAGTTTTTTATTTCTTTGAGGTAAGATTATTGAAATCAGCAGAAAGAGACCCAATAATAACAAGTTCAGAATTAAGTCAATCTGCTGGCATTTCAAAGTAAGCAAAGTAGGCAAAGCTTTAAAACTGGTACTCTGTCATACACAAACAGCCTCATCTCCTTCTGTGTCCCTTTAAACACCTACACTGAGAATGTTTTCTTCTGACAAAATCACCTGGATTCAAAGCAATTATTAATATGGCCAGATTAAGAAACTTTGTAGACCAGCAGTAATCTTCATTATAACTTGATCTATTTCATGGTTCCAGCAACATGTTAGGTGATTTTTGACATGAACTGCAAACTACTAATCCAGGGATAACAGCTATTGACACTGAAACTGTGAGTCAGGATGAAAGGGCTTTTGGTGCCACACATTTGCAGCTGCAATTCACTCTGTGGTAGCTTCTTTCCACAGAGAAAATGCTGTTGGGTACATTTAACCTTCCCCTATTCCTACTGCAAAGAAAAGAAATCAGAGATATTATAATTCAGTTTGGTTCTAATCCACAGAAAATGAGGAGAAAAAAAATCCATTATAATTAGAACCTTTACAAGTTAGTTTTCTTGGAGCTGAATTTGCAGGGAATAAAACAATAAAAAGCAATTCCTATCATTATCACCCCACACCATGATGAGAAATGTACCCCTAGACAAAGATATTAGACCTGTGACTGAACTCTGTCATTTATATGATTAAGTTTCCTTGCAGTTTCATATGTTTGCAAAATACCTACCTTTGCAAGTAAGCCTAGCAAAACACAGTACACTGAGACAGAAGAGGAAAGTTTGCATGTGGCAAAACATTCAATGGAAAGGAGACACTGAGTAACTCCATCCTGTGATTTGGCAGGTTGGTGGGAGGATTTTAAAAATATCCCCAGCCTACCTATAGAAAAAAAAGAGAAAAGTATGATTTTAAGAATTCATGCAATACCTTCCCATTTTGGATCAAATTCTCCCTCAGTACACTAACTCCTTGGATTTTGTAGCACCCATATTGTCTACCAGACAGGCTTTAGGCAGTTTTTGGTCATCATGTGATGCTATTCCATACTGCAGAGAAATAGCTAATGAAAAATGACCAGTAAATTTCCAGTTCTTGTGCTTCTCTTCTGTATTTCAAAGGTTTTTTTAACTGATTCCAGTACAGAACAAAATGGTGTTCAGAAGGAATGGCACAAGAAACTGTCAGTGCTCATTACCTGCTTGGGTCATTATGGAGGATTCCCTATGCTGCTGAAAGAGAAACCCACACAGACTAATCTGATTTTATCACCTGACTATAGAAAAGAGGAAATTCAATTCAACAACTGATTTTGAAAAATTACTTTTTTTTGAAAACCTATCTTCCCCTGTTTTATTTGTACTAAGGAATGGAGAACAGATCTAAATTCATTAGAAAATGTTTGAAGAAGGCAGTTATTTTTTTACAGCTTCCTAATGTGTATTGGATGATTGTATATTGTATTACTGATACCATTTAAGACCAAGGAGATTAAAAGAACTACTAAGAACATCATAAAACATAATAGTTGGCTAGAAATAAAGGCCTTTCCCTCATGCCCTCAGAGACTATTCTAATTTTGTGGGGGGTTTCCTTTCCATTTTCTCATATGTTTATAATTTCTTGCTTCTCTAAATATATTTATATTTATATTATACATTTTCAAAGATGTTAAGTCTCAGTATGAGACTTTTCAAAATACAGAGGTTTTGTAGAAGGTATCAGGCAGGGAGCAAAGGTCCTGTATTTTCTGATCAAACTCAGTGTCAGACCTTTCACTAACTTCACAAATGATCAAGTTCCATTTTCTTACTTGTCTGTCATCTGAGTGGTAGACTGATCCAAGCAACAAAGTTTTTAGCACCATATGGCTCCCTGGATAATACAGCACACTCACTTTGAAGTTTGTTATCTTCAGTAACAGGTTTAGACCCAAATTCTTAAATATACACAGGCTGTGCTCATCCTACTATTGTGTCCATTTTTTTCATTTATTATTCCACTAGGTTCCTGTAAAACAACTTTTTGCAAGACTTATTTCTCTAAACCAAAAACATCTGAATCCATTAAACCAAAGTCTATAGGACTTGGGATTCAGAACTTGTGACAATGAGTTTTGTTGAAAAAAGAATGTGGTGAGCTACACTTATAGAAGTAGGAAACAAATATATCAAGTCACACTTATACTTGAACCAAAACACATATTTTGGTTTCCAAATGCCAAATACTGATAGTATTCACTACTCTACTTTATCACCCATTCCAGCTCATATGAATGCAGAATTCAGTACTCCAAGTCCCATGAAATGCAAACAAAGTGCACACAAAGGAAAATGAGAGCATTACCCTATTCAATAGTGTTTCTTCCAAAATGTTTGATTAAATAAAGTTTTCCTTGATGATCTTGATCTTTTTTATTTACATAATATACTCTGAACTACTCCTTTGTTCCAACACTGACATATCTAGAAATTTATAGAGAGCGAAACCAACATACCACATAAATCAGAGATATTTGCTAACTTCATTTGTCTTAGAGCATTTCTCTTCCCTAACTTTGGGAAAAGGCTGGACCTTCATGAGGCAATTGTCCTGAGAGAGAACATGCTCCCATAAGGCAGCAAAAAAGGGAAAGATATTCTTTGGCTACCATTAAATTATCAAATCAGTAACTTGGTGACCCAGATAGGGCTCTATATAAATGTGTTACCCATATTAAGTCTGTCACCTAGCTGGACAAGGGCTGTATTGCCAATACTGAATACTGTCAGAGCCAAAAAACTCAAAAAAGCTAGGAAATTCCATATTAATCTGGTCTTATTTTAGACTACTGTGGGAAAAGTCATTCACACAAAGGAATATTTTTCTAGCCAAATCACTGCTGCTTGAAAATATGGAAACCAGGGAAGATAAAGAAGGCTGATGAAATGTGCATATTGTGCAATTCCCTTCTTGCTTAGCCTTAGATAAGATCAAATATTGAATCCTACCTTTAAATAGACATGAAATATTGCAGGCAACAACAAATACAGGATCATTAGCATATGGTCCAATAATATCATAACTTTTACTATTCAAGTTTACTATTTAAAGTTTGAATGCATCCAAACAGAGCCTTCACCTGAGGTGCACAGAGGAGCCCTGGCTCTGTGCCAGCTCGTAAGCACGATCTCCTTATTCCTGGATGAGCCCTTCGTCCAATTCAAGGAACTCCAGCTGACCTGGGGTTCTCTGGGGCTGTGTGGCATGAGCAGGGGATGGGTTAGCAAAGAGTAACCAGACCCACCTGCTGGGGAAGAGCACTGCAAGCATCTATGACAGAAACCCAATGCCAACAAGGATAATTTCTTTTGCAATAAAAAGTTTTGAAGGAAAGTAGAGGATAACAAATTCATAGGAATTAATAATTTAAAACCGAGGATGCTGTGAATTCTCTTCTTCAGCTGCTGAACTTTATAGTTTTTTGTATACTCAGAGCAATTATTTTTAAATTCAGATTACATATTTCCACTAGGGTCCAGATTCTGAAGTGCTTATTCAGAAATTGGTTTAGGTAAAAGTCCTACTGAAGCTGCTGGGGATTTGATTTCAATTGAAACTGCATAAATACTGAGTGCAGACTTCTGGATTTCATCCTCTAGAGTAATAGACTGTGTAAACTAGAAAGAATGATTGGAAGGTCTAGTAAGGAACCAGCACATTCTTTGAAGTAATTAATATTTTTCTTATGAAAACACTAATCATTGTGATGTCTGTGACAATTATTTTCAGTGAAAAAATAAAAGAGAATACCTATTTAATTTCTAAATACTTTGAAATTGAGATCGTAATTTATAAGACTGTCTTGCTGTTGTACCAGTGAATGCCCATTATACAGTCTCATCCTTTTATATTTGTGGATAAACCAATTTAGTATTCCTACACCTCTGTAATTAACATATCAGCACTGATTGACTATATTACTAAGACTTTCAGCTTCAGATAAATATGCAAACAACTTCACTAATGATGAAACAATGCACAAACCCCATTATGTTTTCCTGAAAAACAATCTCAAAAAAAATAACCTGTGGCTGAGACAGGTTCTGAAGCCAAAAATCACTGATCCTCACAACAACACACAGAGATCTAAACCAAAATTCCTTAGGTGGTTTATAGTACTAGTAGGTATGCATAGATGGTGATCTGTTATGTATTAGCTCAGCAGAAAACATCTACAAGTCAATATTCATCATAAGGTCTTTAAAAAAATACTAATATGAGCTCCTGGTACTCTGACATATGCCATGCTAATTGTACAAGTGTTAGAAAAATGGCCAAGTTGTACAGAAGTTATTCACATGGATAGCAGATGCTGCCTTTAGTAGGGTTCTTAGTATGAGTTATTTATCCAGGCTATAAAATGTCAATCTGACTCTCTCTATGTGTTAGTACACAGCAAGTTACGTTATTTACATTAAATGTGAAGTATAATACAAAGTATTATATTTACATAAAGCAGAGCATCTCTGGAAAACTGTTAGGCAAGTAGGTGGGAGGATGATTATTCTAGATATATAAAGGGTATCAAACTCAGGGACATATGGTGGTTGCCCCATGATTCAATAAAACACAGCAAAGCCAACACTTGATAGAACAAGACCTTGACTAAGAAAAATTCTCCTTAATGATCAAAATTCTCATCAATAAGTTTTTATCCATTCTTTTTTTTTAATTTACCATCATGTTTCTTTCTAGAAATTTTTACATATCTCTGCAGACAGAGAAAACTGAAGTTAAAAGAGAAGCTCCATTCCATTGATTTCCACAAGAAAATTGCATTCTTTTCAAGCTAGCTTGAATTTAGTATTTTTTCATCAACTATAGACATATTGTTGATATTTATAAATTTGTTTTATATCAAACCAGTTCAAAACTTTAAATTTAATCATAGAGTAAATATGCTTAATCTCCATACTAGCTACAGAAAAAAAGTAGAAAAATTCAGATGCTCCTCTGATTATAGCTTTAAGATTCCCAAAAGTAGGTCTTTCCAACAAACAGTAATAACTTCAAGTAAAATGATTTGCTGGGAGCCATGTAGAATCAAAGATAATTCCTTTCCTTTGCTTTCCCTCTATCTCCTTAAATTCCTTGCACAAAAAGCTTTGTCCCCAGAGCCGGAGAGGGGAACAGCATGATCTTAAAGCTCAGTAGTGCTGCCTGGAACCTCAGTTCACCCATGGTCCATCTCACATGCCCTCCCTCTCTAGCATTATGTGCAATCCATACACAGTCTCCATTCTGCTCTGTATCTACCCAACCCTCAGCAGAGCAGCAGCATTCCGAGTGCATTTTTCCACCCCAGAGTGGATTTTTACCCTCACAGAAATTTAGTGCTGTTCCTTACCTAGACATTTCTGATGGAAGTTGTGTGTGAGTTAAACAATCTTGAAATTATCAAAATGTAAAGAAACACCAGCACGAGGCCAGGGTCACAGGGCAGCAGCCACAGTGGCTCAACTTCTGTGGTCAGGGATCAGCCTGAGTGCAGGGTGGGGGCAGAAAGAGCTTGGAGTGATTGTCAAAAAGAGTTGTGAAACTTATCAAACAGCATTACATCTTCAGAAAAAAAAATATAACTGAGCAGTCAGTGTGATCTTCCAGGGCAAAAACCATAAGTCCCAGATCTCAGAGAAGAGTGTGCCTCTTTTATCCCTAACATCCAGGAATACAGTCAAGCACAGATTTTCAAAGGTATCCTACAACACATGATGTTAAATCTGGGATCAACATCAACAAGAGGATTTTTTTATGTAAATCTTTGAACAAAATTAGTCTTTTTTCCTCATACCTAAATATTATAATATTTTCAAAGTTTTTTAT